GCAGGCTGGAAGAATCAGAGGAACGAATTAATGACCTAGAAGATAAAATAATGGAAACTAATCAAGCTGAACAAAAGAGAGAAGAATTACACAACACAAGAATAGACTTTGGGAACTCTGATTCCATCTAACATAATAACATTCATATTATAGGATCCCAGAAGAAGAAGAGAGAGAAAAGGAGGCAGAATATTTATTTGAAGAAATAATAGCTGAAAACTTCCCTACTCTGGAGATGGAAACAGATATCCAGATTCAAGAGGCACAGAGAAGGCCCAAGAAAATAAACAAAAGCAGATCCACACCAAGACATATTGTAATTAAATGGGCAAAATATAGTGATAAAAAAATTTTAAAGGACAAAAAAAAAAAAAAGACAGTTACATACAAGGGAAACCCCATAAGGCTATTAGGGGATTTTTCAGCAGACATTTTCCAAGACATGATCCATTCAAAGTGCTGAATGGGAAAAATCTGCATCCAAGAACACTGTATCCAGCAAGGCTATCATTCAAAACAGGAGAGGAAAAAAAAAGTTTCCTAGACAAACAAAAAAATAAAGGAGTTTCTGACCACTAAACCAGCCCTGTAAGAAATATTAAAGGGAACTCTTTGAATGGAAAGGAGAGACCAAAAGTGACAGTATGAAGGTAAGAAACAAGAAAGCAGTAAAAATTAGTATTTCTGTAAAAAAAAAAAAATCAAAGAGCTCAGAAAATAAAAAGATATAAAATATGATATCACATACCTAAAACATGGGAAGGAGAGGAGTAATGAACGGGTTCAACTTAAATGACCATCAACTTCATATAGACTGCTACACGCAGAAGATGTTATATACAAACCTAACGGTAACCATAAGTAAAAAAACCACTAAAAATATGCGAAAAATAAGGAGAAAGAAATCATATCACTAAATATATCACTAGAGAAATAGATCACTACCAAAAACCAGCAAACCACGAAAAACAGAAAGACAAGAAAGGATCAGAGAAAATCTTCAGAAACAACTACAAAACAATACAATAGCAATAAATACATATCAATAATTACTTTGAATGTAAACAGACTTAATCACTTCAAAAGACACAGAGTGACAGAATGGATTAAAAAAAAAAAAAAAACAAGACCCATCCAAATGCTATCTATAGGAGACTCATTTCAGATCTAAAGACACCTGCAGGTTGAAGGTGAGGGATGGAGAAACATTTATCACCCATATGGATTCAAAAGAAAGCCAGGGTAGCAATACTTATATCGGACAAAATAGAATCTAAAACAGAGACTAGAACAAAAGACAAAAAAGGACACTATATAATCATAAAGGGGACAATCCAACAAAAAGATATAATAATTGTAAATATTTATGCACCCACATGGGAGCACCCACATACATAAGAGTGCATAACAAACATAAAGGAACTAATCAATAATAATACAATAATGGTAGGGGACTTTAACACCCACACTTACATCAATGGACAGATTATCTAAACAAAAAAATCAACAAGGAAACAATGGCTTTGGATGACACACTGGACCAGATGGAATTAATAGATATATGCAGAACATTCCATCCTAAATCAGCTGAATAGACATTCTTTTCAAGCGCATATGGAACATTCTCCAGAACAGATCATATATTAGGCCACAAAACAAGCTGAAACAAACTCAAGATCAAAGTCATACCATGCATCTTTTCTGACCACAATTCTATGAAACTAGAAATTAACCACAAGAAAAATCTGGAAAGACCACAAATACATGGAGGTCAAATAACATGCTACTAAACAATGAATGGGTCAACCAGTAAATAAAAGAAGAAATAAAAAAAATAGATAGAAACAAATAAAAATAAAATCACCACAGTCCAAAACTTTTGGGATACAGCAAAAGCAGTTCTAAGAGGGAAGTTTATAGCAGTATTTGCCTACCTCAAGAAGCCAAAAAAAATCTCAAATAAAAACCTAAACTTACACCTAAGGAGCTAGAAAAAAGAACAACAAATAAAACCTAAAACCAGCAGAAGGAAGTAAATAATAAAGACTGGAGCATATATAAATGATAGAGAAACTAAAAAAACAATATAACAGCTCAGTGAAACTGGAGCTGGTTCTCTGAAAAAAAAAAATCAATAAAATTGATAAACCTCTAGCCAGACTTATCAAGAAAAAAAGATAAGGGACTCAAATAAAATTACAAAGGAGAGAGGAGAAATAACATCACCACAAAAATACAAACAATTATAGAAGACTAGTATGTAAAACTGTATGCCAACAAACTGGACAACCTAGAAAAATAAATTCCTAGAAACATAAAAACTACCAAAACTGAAACAGGAAGAAATAGAAAATTTGAACAGATAACCAGCAAAGAAATTGAATCAGTAATCAAAAGACTCCCAACAAACAAAAGTCCAGGACCAGATTGGTTCACAGGTGAACTGAACCAAACATTTCAAGAGTTAATATCTATTCTTTCCAAACTAACCCCCAAAAAAATAGAAAAGGAAGGAAAATTTCCAAATCCATTCTATGAGGCCAGCATTACCCTGATACCAAAACCAGATAAAGACACCACAAAAAAAGAGAACTACAGGCCAATACCTCTGATGAACATAGAAGCAAAAATCCTCAACAAAATACTAGCAAACCAAATCAACAACACATTAAAAAAAAAAAATTCATTGTGATCAAATGGGATTTATTCCTGGATTGCAAGGGTGGTTCAATATTTGCAAATCAAGCAACATGATACATCACGTCAAGAAGCAAAGGATAAGAACCATATGATTATTTCACTAGAGGCAGAAAAAGCATCTGACAAAATACAACATCCATTCATGATAAAAACTCTCAACAAAGTAGGTTTAGAGGGGATATACCTCAGCATAATGAAGGCCATAATATAAAAACCCACAGCAAATATCATCCTTAATGGGGGAAAAACAGAGCTTTTCCCCAAGGTCAGGAACAAGACAAGGATGTCCACTCTCACCATTTTTATTCAACTGAAGTTCTAGCCACAGTAATCAGACAACAAAAAGAAAGAAAAGGCATCCAAATTGGTAAGGAAGTGGTCAAACATTCACTATTTGCAGCCGACATGATACTATATATAGAAAATCTGAAAGACCCCACCAAAAAACTGCTAGAACTGATAAATGAATTGAGTAAAGTCGCAGGACACAAATCAATATACAGAAATCTGTTGCATTTCTATACACCAATAATGAAGCAGAATAAAGAAAATAATCCCGGGGCGCCTGGGTGGCTCAGTCACTTAAGCGACCAACTCAATTTTGGTCATGAAATCAGGGTCCTAGGATCAAGCCCCATGTCAGGCTCACCGCTCAGCAGGGAGTCTGCTTCTCTCCTTCTCCCTCTTCCTCTGCCCTTCCCCCACCTCGCACGTGCATGTGCGAGCTCCCTCTCAAATAAATAAATCTTAAAAAAAAAATCCCATTTATAATTGCATCAAAAATAAGATACTGAGGAATAAACCTAACCGAAAAGGTGAAAGACCTGTATTCTGAAAATTTTAACACACTGATGGAAGAAATTGAAGATGACACAAAGAAATGGAAAGACATTCCATCCTCATGGATTGGAAGAATAAATATTGTTAAAATGTCTATACTACCCAAAGCAATCTACAGAACCCTAACTCTCTCTTCACTGAAAGCTAGACTACTACAACATTACAATTGAAGATTAAAAAAAAAAAAAAAAAAAAAGAGGAAGGTCCACCTTGCCTAGTAACATGGTAACAGCTACCACAAGCATATGAGTACTTCATTTTCATATGGTTGCTTTACCACATATTAACATAGATTAAGAAGTATACTTACTTTGAATGGAAAACTGGATTTCACCTATTATGACAATTGTGATTGACAGGGCCTGCCTGCAGTGCTAAATTGAGAATGATTCTGAGGCTGAATCCAGACTCAGTAGAACTGTTATGAAGGATTAATAATGTCCACTATGAGTGAAAAAGGGAGAATGAGGGTATGTACTATGTACTTGACATCTTTAATATCTTGCATTTTCTCTGAAAAATTGTATGCCATTGGCAGGACTTCAATAAAAAAAGATGAATTTCACTCCTTTAATATTAAAGTCAACTACCACCCAATCGATTAAGGGATAGGATTACAATGAACACTAGGGAAATCTATCCAGACCATGAGCCATTCCTTCCTTTCTCAGAAACATTCCCTGATCCAGGAGGCTGGGATCCTTCTTCCCTTGTTACAAGTGACTGATCCCTGAGTGGATCCTAATCCAACACGGGGTAACAAAGTTTCTCTCTTGGGAATTCAGAATTAGAATTCACAAACAGCCAGTTTTGTTTTTATATATGCGGAACTGCAACATATGCAAAATATGGAGATCATGTGCTACCATTCAGAGAGAGAAGCACAGAAACAATTCAGTCTGTGGGGAGATGAATAAAGAAAATCTACAGAGCCAGAGAAACCAGGGAAATTAGGAGAATATTCTCTGGATTCCTGAGAACCTTCCTGTCCCTAGATTCTTAGATTCTCTTTTCTTTAAGCTAGCTTGAGTTGATTTATTTATAGACAAAGGGTATTAACTAATAAAGGATAATAGGGTTGCAAAGGCTAGGAGAAAATATTCTTTTAGAAGAAGAGGCCAAAAAATATATAAAGGAATAAACAGAAAAAAAATCAAATTACTTTTTTTTTTTTTTAAAGATTTTATTTATTTGAGAGAGAATGAGAGATAGAGAGCACGAGAGGGAAGAGCGTCAGAGGGAGAAGCAGACTCCCTGCTGGGCAGGGAGCCCGATGTGGGACTCGATCCCGGGACTCCAGGATCATGACCTGAGCCGAAGGCAGTCGCTTAACCAACTGAGCCACCCAGGCGCCCTCAAATTACTTCTTAACCTACATTAAAATGATGGTAGAAATTAATTCCTTCAGTTTTGTACCGTCTTCTTAAAGAGTATATGTGATAAACTTAACAAAACCTGACCTTTGTTTCTTCTGTCCTCACTGCATCCAGCAGATAATGCAGAAGCTCCTGACTGTCCTCTTGCTGGAAACTTTTAAATCGGGGGGCCCTATGATTTAAAAACAAAACAGGAAAGAAAAAAAGATAATTTCATCAACAATATATTACTACCATCTAAAATCATTTTTAAATAGCATATAGTCAAAGATTCAATTTAGTCCTACTAAGTTTTTCTACTAAGTTGAAATACCAGATATGGTCACTATTCCAATTAGGATGAGATCTTAAGTACACAGAGAATAATATGGCTATCATTTATCAAGCAACTACTACATGCAAGCACAGTACATATGTTAAGCTTTACATATGTCAAGTCATAAAATCCTTAAACAAGCTTGGGATGCCCTATTTTCTCCAGCTTATATACAACGGCTTAGAGGGATTATTTATAGAATTTGCAAGGTCACATAGCAAGCAAAAAAACAGTATTCAAACCCAAGCCACCTTGATCTATTATCTTCCTACCTTGAATAACCAAAAGAAAAACAAGAGGTTATTTATATTAAAATAAAGAACTAAAAACTGATATCTCTGTGAATGTATTTATTTTAAGGATTTAACAATTAGATTTCCTTGTATTAATTAAAGGATCAGGTGCTATTCATGGAGACTTCAACAGAGCAAATATTTAGTTGATTTCAGTAACCTTAAAAAGTAGTATTTTCTGCAATAAACTCCAATACTAAAATGAAAATAAGTACTAAATTTAGATAGTGCTCTAAGACAAAGATTTTTGCTTAATATAAAAGAGTAAGAATATGTTATGGTAGTACAAGTTCACAATGGTCTCATTAAGATATGTGCAACATATCTCATTTGATATGCACAGCAGTGCTGTTAAGAAATTCATAATTAATATGAACTCTGTTTTACACTTGAGAAAACTGAAGAACAAGCTAAGTGCCACTGACATAAATCCAGGTCTTTTGATTCTTAAGTCCAGTATTTTAAGCATTATTTCTCATCTCATAATAAACATTCACCCCAGTAAGGCACTACTGTGAGTCCCTGGTGCTAAAAAGCTATCTGAAATAGCCTATAACAGGAGTGATAATTTCAGTTACTCACTCTTGTTAAGAAGTAGCAAAAGCAATAGGATGTTGAGAAGACTCTTGATTTACTCCCCTTGTGGGCTTCCCTTTCTGCATGTGGTAGATATTGTTCACCTTCTAGATCAGAGTTGAGGACAGAAACCAAGATGGACACAAATCCCAACCCTATTTGGGCTTCCATGGCTGGAATCCACATAAGGCTGAAATTGGATGACATGACACTTGTGCTGTAGGCATCAAGGAAGGCCAATGAAATGGAAGAAGACTGCAAGGGGGAAACCAGGGAATCCTTCAGAGATCCTCACCTGCCAGGTGGCAGGTAGGAGGACCAGTCTATGGCTTTCAAAGCAGATGCACAGGATGGAAATTGTTCCTGAACAAAGGAGAAACTTTCTCTACCATGTCCCTGCCTATAGCTCCATCTTAACTATGCACAAAGCAGTACCGCCTTCTAAACCACTCAAGAAAATTTAATAAACCTAGATTTTTTTCTTTCTTCTTCTACCTAGGACTGGGTAAAAAATTCTATGATGACTTACAGAATCTCTAATGGAGCCTATCTGATCTACAAATACCAAAGAGACCTTCAAACTTAAAGAGAAAAATCAACAAACATATGAAGAGATTCATGTATTCAAAATGAGGAGAACATGAAAGATACACAGGAAATGTACCTTAGTAAAAGTGTTACTGTGGGAAAGAGGAGAAAACTTAAAAATCTCAAGTTGTAAGAGGAAAACATATGCATACTCATAAAACAGGAATAGATTATCAAGAAAAAGAAATTCAGAACAAGAGAGAATTCGTGGAGATGTCTTGTGGATGAAGATGAATCAGTCTGTTGATAATCCAAAAACTCTCTCTACTCCAGGCATATTGACAAAATATAAAAAGAGAAAACAAGCAAAAAAAAAAAAATATATATGTCAAAACTTACCCAATGGTATACTTTAAATATGTACAGCTTACTGCATGCCAAATATACTTTACTAGAGCTATTCAGAATATCCATTAATACAATTCTTGTATCAACAGATTAAAAAAAAAACATATGATATTTCAACAGATGCAGAAAAAGCATTTAATAAAATGCAATACCTGTTCTTTTTTCTTAAAAAAAAACAACAACAACTAACATTTATTATCTCATGGTTTCTCTGGGCCAGGAATCAATGTCTCCCAATGGTAATAAATAATGTTTATTTAAATAACAAATATTTGTTGGGTGCCTGGGTGGCTCAGTCGGTTAAGCGTCTGCTCTCAGCTCAGGTCATGATCCCGGAGTTCTGGGATCCAGCCCTGAGGCGGGCTCCCTGCTCAGTGGGGAGTCTCCTTCTCCCTCTGCACCTCACTTCGCTCATGCTCTCTCTCTCTCAAAAATAAATAACAAATTTGTTTTTTTAAGAAAAAAATGAGAACTGGAGTTTATTGAATGTTTTTATTCTTGATGAAAACTCTCAGAAAAAACTAGGAATGGGAATTTCCTCAACTGATAAAAGTCATCTATGAAAAGCCTACAGCTGTTATCATACTTATGTGTTAAAGACTGAATGTTCTGCTCCTAATATCAAAAAGAAAGCAAAAATGCCTACTTTTTACCACTCCAACATTGTCCTGGAGGTCCTTGCCAGTTATATAAGATAAGAAAAATGTATAAAAGGATACAATTGAAAAGGAAGAAATAAAATGGTCTTTATTTACCAATGGCATTATTGTCTACATAGGAAATCCTGAAGAATCTATATAAAACTACTATAACCCTTGAGCAAGGGAACAAGAAACAAGATCAATATACAAAAATCAAGTATATTTCCTTATATTTGGAATGTACAACCGGATATTGAATTTTTTCTAAAGTACCAATTTACAATAAATAGTGTTTAAAAATATGAAATTCTTAAGGTAAATCTAACAAGATAGTGCAGGATTTGTAAGCTGAAAACCACAAAAAATTGATGGGAACAATCAAATACCTAAATAACTGAAAAGATATTTCATAATCATACACTGGAAGACTCAACCTTGTTAAGATGTCCTCTCCAAACTGATCTCCAAATGCAACCCCAATTAACAAACTGATTCTAAAATTCATATAAAAAAGCAAAGGACCTGGAGTAGCTAAAAAAAAAAAAAAAAAAAAAAAGTCTGAGCACTCACACTATCCAATTCTAAGACTTACTATGAAGGTATAGTAATGAGACAGTGCAGAACTGGGGTAAGGGTAGACATATAGATCAATGGAACAGAGTCCAAAAATAGACTCAACATATATGGCTTAAATCTTCACCAGATTTTTTTAAAATTACTTCTCTTAATATAAATCTCTTTTTAAAGTAAACATAATAAAGCAAATGCAATTTTTAAAATGTTTTCAAATAATGTTTGATCCAGTAGGTCTATTTATCCTACAGATGTACTTTCACAAGTGCGATACACACACACATGTTAAATCAAATAAGTCATACCCACATGTACTAATATGGAAAAATGTAAAAAATATATTAAGCAAAACAAGTTGCAAACAATTTTATATATGTCTGTGCCTGCATAATCGCTTTTGAAAAAAATAAATAAGGTACAAATAGTATTTTGAACTTTTATCATGAGCACCTATTATTTTAACAATTTTAAAAATTTTATAAATCTTTAATAAAACCAGGAGCACCTGGGTGGCTCAGTCGGTTAAGCATCTGCCTTAGCCTCAAGCATGATCCCAGGGTCCTGGGATCAAGCCCCACATCAGGCTCCCTGCTCTGCGGGGAGCCTGCTTCTCCCTCTCCTCCCCTTTCATGCGTGCGTGCTCTCTCTCTCTATCTCTGTCTCTCTCTCTCTAATAAATAAATAAAATCTTTTAAAAGAATCTTTATAAAACCAAAAAAAAAAAAAAGGATACAAAACAGTTATTTTTGGCAGAGCCAAAAACAAATTTCGAAAGCACATAGAATCCTAAAAACTTTTCAACTCTGTGAGGCACCAATGTCACAAAAATCTGAGGATATTTTGTTCTTCGGGCTTTGAAAAAAAACAGCATTTGCCACCAAATGAGACATAATAAACCCTCTTTATTTTGTACTACATTCAAAATACCATGGCACATTTTGCTAAGTGAAATAAGCCAGTCACAGAAAAACAAATAGCATGATTCCACTTATATAAGGAATCTAAAATAGGCAAATTCATTGAATCAGAGAGAGTGCAATGGTGTCTACCAAGGGCTGGAGTGAAGGAGAAATGAACGTACAGGCATAATCAATGGGCATAAAGTTTCACTCAAGCAAGATGGACAAGCTGTAGAGATCTGCTATTCAGCATTGTACCTTTATCAACAATAATCTATTGTACACTTAATTTTTAAGAAGGCAGAACTCATGGTAAGTGTCCTTTCCACAACTAAAATTTTTTTAAAAAATTAACATTGGTATAGTTCTAGAAGATAAAATGTAATACCATGGCACAAATAACTATTAAATTAAAATGAAATTTTAAAGTCTGGAGATATACAAAAATGCAAGTTCCCATTTAAAGAATTTTGTTTCTATATATTTTAGAAATTGTGGACTGGGACTAGCTCATGAGCTCCATGACAGGGTCTATTTTTAATATCTTATACATTGTATACCCTTAGATTCTAGCAAGTACCTGATGCAAATAAATAAGCTCTCAGTTTTTTAGATGAAAGAATAAATGAAAGAATTAAAGTTAAGTCAGGTCCTTTGTGGTATGTATGTATTTCTGGGCACACAAGGATTTTGTTTTTGAACATACAGTACTATCTTGAGAAATTCACTTAAATTCTATTTGCCTTGAAGGTCATCTTTAAAACTAAGGAAGGCACCTGGCTGGCTCAGTTGGTAGAGCATGCGACTCTTAATCTTGGGGTCATGAGTTTGAGCCCCACATTGGGAGCAGAGTATACTTAAAAAATAATAAAAGTAAAAATAAGAAAACTAGATTTAGATGATCTATTAATAGCACCTTTTAATTCTATAATGTTCTTACTTTTTGTTATTACATCATGGGCTTCTGAATCAGGACAGACCTCTATTTGAATGCTGGCTTTGTCACTATAAAACTAGGTAAGCTACTCAACTTTTGTGGGTCTCAGTTTCCTTATTTATAAAATGGGGATAAACAAGCACTTCTTCAGAGTACTATGAGATATAACAAACAAAAGCACAGAGCTGCAACTAAATAAGTATTAGTTTTTTCTCTTGAGAGTCTAGACAATAATAGCAATATTATAGTAAGAGTGAAATTACTCATATTAAGTGATATATTAGAATTTTATAACTCAATTACTTATATCAAGAATTTAGATGCACCCACTTCTGACAAAGCTGATTAAAAAGAACTTTAGGAGAAAGTGGTCCTTTTTCAGTCTCCTTCATGCTGTGAAGAAACACCAACAAGGCTGAGGTCAATGGTCCAGGGCTTGAAAGTTCCACTGTTAGTGGGTCCTTTAAAAACATGATCAACTCTATGTCAGAAATATGCAAATTTAAAATTAAATATTATTAAAAATCTAAGTTATACTTTGCTTAAATGATGATAACTAAATTGCCTTAAGTGTATTAAGAAACTTTATTCCTACATATATAAGATGAATATTAAAAAATGGAAAATGGAATTAAATGCCTTACCTTGAAAAACACAGGTATTCTCGTAACCTTTTGCCCCTTACTTAGTAAAACTATTAGCTTAAGAATAAAATCACCAATCTCTAGTTGCTTATAACCATCCCTTAATGTGCTCTCCTAGGGGCGCTTGGCTGGCTCAGTCAGTCCAGCATGCAATTCCATCTCGGGTTTGTGAGTTTGAGCTCCACATTAGTTGTAGAGATTACTTAAAAAAATAAGTCTTAAAAAATGTGCTCTCCTAAAAGCAGAATTACTTATCTACTTGACATGTATACATTTTAATATATGATCACAAATTACATTTGTTAGCAAAACTCCACACCCTTCTTTTCCCCAAATATTTTACTAATAAAATAAGGAATGGGAGATTATTTCACAAAATTGATACACCATTCTCCTTCTTTACAAGGGAGAGACATAAAGCTTGACAAGAGCAGCTAAAATTGTGTGAAGGAGAAACCCACTTTATTCTAGAATTTTTCCCCCACCAAGTTTTGTTTTCTAAAATGTTATCTTCACCAGTAACCCTCCTCCTTATAAACAATGAATAAAAAGCAGATCCCAAATATAATCTTAGGACATTACAGAACGTTATTTTCTAAGACAACTATCAAATATGGTTGTCTCATTCATGTATTCATGAAATACATGTTACATATATATTTCATACCAACTATCCTTAAAAGTCTACCGTCTGACTAAAACCACAGAAAGGACAGGCTATAATTTTGCATAGCTTCTGAATATCAAAACGGCTCTTTGCCATGTTGAAGACATGAACAGACATTTCTCCAAAGAAGACATACAGATGGCCAACAGACACATGAAAAGATGCTCAACATCACTCATCATCAGGGAAATGCAAATCAAAACTACAATGAGATATCACTTCACGTGTCAGAATAGCTAAAATAAAAAACATAAGAAACAACAAGTGTTGGTGAGGATGTGGAATAAAAGGAACCCTCCTGCACTGTTAGTGGAAATGCAAACTGGTGCAGCCACTGTGGAAGACAGTTTGAAGGCTCCTCAAAAAATTTAAAACAGAACTATAATATGATCCAGTAATCACTCTGCTGTGTATTTACTTAAAGAATACAAAAACACTAATTCAAAGGGATACATGCACCCCTATGTTTATTGCAGCATTATTTACAATAGCCAAATTAGAGAAGCGCCCCAAGTGTCCATCAGTTGATGAATGGATAAAGAAGATGTGGTATACATATACAATGGAATATTATTCGGCCATAAAAAAGAATGAAATCTTACCATTTGCAACAACGTGGATGGACCTTGTAGGCATTATGCCAAGTGAAATAAGTCAAAGACAAATACCATATGATTTCACACGTGAAATTTAAAACAAAACAAAACAAAAAACCCAAAAACCAGCTCACAGATATAGAGAACAGGGGGTGAGAGGGTGGGTAAATTGGTGAATGAGGTCAAAACAAATTTCCAGACATTAAAAAAAAAAAAAAAACCACCTATGAAAAACCTATAGTTAACTTCATTCCTGATGTTAATGAAAGACTGAATATTTTTCTCCTACTCTGGGGATTTTAGGCAAGGATGTCTGCTCTCTCATCATTTCTATTCAGTATGTTACTAGAGGTTCAAGCCAGTACAATAAGGTAAGGAAAAGAAACAAAAGGCATATAGATTGCAAAGGACAAAGTAAAACTGGTGATTCAAAGAGTAATGATCTACACTGGTAGTCCTCCAGCTCAGGTCAACTCTATGTCCCAAAGACCGAAGATCTAAGATTGAAACTCTCCTCTTAGAAGAACACAAATCTAAAGTGATCAGCTATAATATCTAATTGCCATATAGTCCTCTCAAGATATAGTTCCACATGTAAAGTACCTAACATTCAATCACATTTAATAGGAAATCTTTTCAAATGACTAAGCATTAACTCCAATTTAGTAGTTTTCACTACCTCACTACATTTTAGAAGAGGGCACTGGGCTCTGCTCTAAAAATTTTAAAGGGCTGAACAGGCAGTAAGTTTACAGGTTGCCTTTTCAACAAAGAAATACAACAATACTGTCTTTCAAAACTGTCTCCTTGGAAGAAAAACCTAAGATTACTACATTGGGCTAAGAATTTTTAGAACACCCCTTTCTTCTTTTCAAAAGCCATGAACTATACATACATACATCTCTTCCTCCAAAACACACACACACACACACACACACACACACACACACACAGATCAATTTCTAACTAAAAACGTTATTACTACTGTCAGGGCCCTTCAGCCAAAGACTACCAGGAATACACTGGTAGTTGAACAAGAAAGGTTTTTTACTTGTTGCATTTAGGAAGAACACACACCATGGGAAACCACGGGGTATCTCAATCAGAAAGAACTGATACAGGATTTGGGCTTTGGCTGAGTAATCTGGGGGAGAGTCTAAGGAAGCAAAAGTCTGCTCTCAATTGAATGCTGTCAGAAAGTGGAGGCAATTCTTAGCCTGGGTATCCTGATAAATCTTATCTTTGAGTTAGGATAACCCAAATTCTAGTCTCTGGGAGATAAGAATGACGCTAAAGCTGTAACTAGTAAAGAGTAGCAGTCTCTCACTTTGGTCAAGAGAGGGTGCTTGAGATTTTTCTAAGTGGTAGACTAACTTTGTTTTTGTCTGAGTTCAGATAAAAGTATGAAGTGGCCTTGCTTTGTCTTATTTTTATCAGTCTCAGAGCAACCTGGCCTGAGGTTGGCATTCTGTGAGATTGTTTGAACAATATGGCCTAACTGTGGGTGCCAAGCCAGCTTCTGAATGTTAAGGGCTGCTCTTTTTCCTTATTTCTTTTCTCACTAGCTTAAAAACCTATTTTTTGACTAGGCTCCAAAAAATCTTTAGATGCTCACCATTAAAATTAAATCTACTTTTAAAGAACTAAAATGCTATATTAAAGCAAATGTTACTGGTCACTACAAAACAGGAGTCCTAGACATTTTGTTCAACTAAATACAAACCCCTTTTGTTTGAAAATTGCCTTAATATCTTTGTATTGTTTGACCCATGATATGTTTGAACCATAACAGATCTTGAAGGTATAATGTTAGAATTTTAAAATCGGATTATTTTCACAAAATGCTTTTGAATTATTTTTTTCAAAATATTTTTTCAAAACACCATCTCAGTTAACAGTGCTGAGAAATACAAAAGATCAATTTTGGCACCATCAGTGGCTCATCGAAAAAGAGCTATTATCCCAGTAGTCATTCTTCTTACCAGCCGAGTGTCTGGGGAAGGAAAAATCTTGAGTTTTGTCCCATTTTCTTTGTTCTCATTCATCAGTTCCATAAGAATGTAAGATTGTGCCAAGTTCTAAAAGAAAGCAAATATAAAGTCTTCTGATTCGGTTGTAATATCCTCTGATTCTATGGGAAAAATGGTCTCTTCAACTCTCAAATGTCATCTAGCAGAGCAAAAAAATTTTTGAGTTTTAAAAAACTTGACTGAGCACATTTCACATTTAATAAACGTCAGTATTATGGACAGAACCATGGTAAAACACAGAGAAGTCCTTTTGGAAGCACTGTGCGAAAAGGTGGTGTATATATGAATGTATGTACATAGCAAAGGCTACAGATAGCCTAAAACAAAAAGAAAACAGATCTTTCTAGGGGAATGTTTAGCAGTCAATTGCTAGTTTACAGGTGTGTCAATAAATATAAAGTTATTTTTTACATTTTACAAAGATTCCTGATGGCTCTTACCTGCATGACTGCATTAAAGAAGCAAGTATTTCCTAAATTTGAAATTCCTTTCACAGACGGTACACTGCTGCCTTTTCTTCCTTTCTTTTTTTCACCTGTTTCACATTTTTCCTCACAAAGTTTAAGGATTCTAGAAAATGCACCTAAGTTAGAGAAAACGTAACTGACATTAAGATGTAAAATCAAATATATATATATATAATTTGAAATAAATACATTAATTAAAATTAAGTAAGATTGTCCCCTGAATTGGTGTCCCTGAAGGGCAAGAATACAAACACAAATAAATGTCTCCAGTTTGTATCTTACTGCTACGTATTTATACCACGTATGGCACTGAGGGATAAATTCCAGATGAATTACATAGTTAAGTATAAAAGAATGAAGTAAAAAAACAAGAAGAAAACATCCAGATCTCAGTTCCTAAATACTATTCCCCGCTAAAAGAAATGAAGACTCCTTGAAGAAAATGCTGATTCTAAACCTAGGACAGCAAAGAAACAAAGCAAGCCTATAACATTTTTATTGTGCCAGAAAATAAGGAAGTGCTCAAAAAAAGTGATGAGTAGGTCAAAATACACATGCACCATCTTGAATAGGTTCCCACTGGTCCACTCTGGGACAATCTGAATATCAAAATAAAGAAGGGTCATAAGAGTTTACTATTCACTGAACAAAATGAGAATGGGTCAGAATCAATAATAGGTTTTTTAAATTGGAGGAAAAGGGAGAAACTCTTCCTTACAAGAAAATGCCAACTAATACACTGAAGAAATAATGGAACTGTAAAATCACCACATAATGGCAATTTTTTTGTATTGCTCTTGCAACTTTTCTGTAAGTTTGAAACTTCAAAATAAAAAGGTTAAAAAATTAGAACTATATTATAATATAAAAAATTATATTATAATATAAAAAGGAACTATATTATAATATAAAAAACTATATATATAATGAGTTTTGGGCTCACTGGTTTATATAATTAATGAAGATTTAAAAATTATATCAATTCATCATTTTTCAAAACAATCTGAAAATGAACAATTTCTAACATTTACAAACTGACATCATATTTATTCAACAGCACATTACTTTCTGAATCAAAATATAATTTGAGGGGCGCCTGGGTGGCTCAGTCCATTAAGCAGCCAACTCCTGATTTCAGCTCAGGTCATGATCTCAGGATCATGAGATCAAGCCCCACGATGGGCTCTGTGCTCAGTGTGAGTATGCTTGAGATTCTCTGCCTCTCCCTCTGCCCGTCTCCCCACTCATGTTTTCTCACTCTCTCAAATAAATAAAACCTATTAAAAATATATATATAATTTGAAGTTTGACAGGAAATTCCCAAGTTCTCAATTTATTGAGAATTTATTTTAACCAAAATATTCTTTCAAATTTCTTTCAACCCTCAGATTTTGTAGTTCTTTGCAATTATGTTTTATTCATCTAATACTGACATACTGCCTTGCATTGCTAATTAATTTTTAAATATTTGGCTGTCTCCCCAGTCAGACTGATGGAGATCAGAAAATGTCTTACTACTGCTCTTTCTTCTACAGGGGTGTAATGTTGGGGAGAACATATATAATAAAAATTCAATATAAATGAAAACATACTGGATTAAACAGCAGATTCAGTAGTACCTTAGCCCTCCATGCTCTGATGTGTTCTTAAGAGTAAATAAGACATCCCCTCCCATCCTGCCCTTCTTCGCAACAACATTAAGGGAGATGAACAGGGCTGGAGGTAGCCCTGCTTTCAGGGACAGGAGCAGAGAGAAGACACCATAAAGAGAAACTGTAATCTCAAGTATGGGCAGACTGATGTCATACGCATCTTGTTGGTTCAAATAAGGAGTGACTTGGCAACTGTGACTTTTGCCAAAGAAAAAGCATCAATCAAGGGGGGTTAACACATTTCCTTATAAGATTTTCATAAGGATTAAATGCAAAGCGACTCTCTGCAAAGCACCTGGCAAGGTAAGCACCATGTAAGTGGGTGAAAACAGTCCATTGAGCCTCCCCAAAATTGTTATTTGTGCCAAAATCCATACCTTCATAAGTGATCCTTCATGCCCATTGTTTATCTGCCCTCACTTTTTTCTTCTCTTTAATCACTTCCTGTAACATCCTGGGTTTTTGCCCTCAAGCTTAGCTCTTATTTCTAATTGATTTTCGGAATTGCTAATATGAGTTTTGCCTTTTATATTGACTTTGTGGTTTTCATATCTTCTTGGCTTTTCTTTCCAACATGTGGCAACATCTTACCTCATTGAGAAAAATGAACTAGTGGTTTCTAAGGTTTTTTTTTCATTAAGTAAATCTATTGCATGGAAAATATTTTTCTTTCAAGTCTTAGCAACTTTTATCCATGATGTAATATTTTCCCATAAACCCTATTGCCTGTTTTTTTTTCCCCCTTTATTCCTGTTGGCTTATTCTTTTCTCTTTTTTTAAGACTTATTTGAGAGAGAGACAGACAGAGAACGCACACACAAGCAGGCGCAGGGGCAGACAAAGAGAGAATCCTCAAGCAGACTCCCTGCTGAGCATGGAGCCCAACATGGGGCTTGATTCCAGGACCTGAGATCATGACCTAAGATGAAATCAAGAGTCAGATTGCTTAACTGACTGAGCCACCCAAGTGCCCCTGTTGGCTTATTCTTTAAACATTATTGGTTGTTACTGGATGTGTGTTGTCCAGATACTGAGGAGTTGTTTTTTACTCCCAACCCTAGAGTTCTGAGTTAACACAGAAAAGAATGAGCAAGATAGATCTCTTCTCCTGTCTTCCATATATTAAAACAAGTAATAAGAATTAAACCCCATACTAGAGCTTGGGGGCAAAGGCTGGTACAATCAATGGAAAGGTCACTCAAGGGCAGAGAACAGGCATGGAGAAAAGGAAAAGCAGGAAAAAGCAAGACAGTATTCAAACCTGCAAGTGGATGTAAAAGCAAATGAAATAAGCCAGTCAGTGGTCAAGAAGCATTTCACAAACAAGAGGAGGCCCCATATGGATCCTGGCTGGGTTTGCAAATGAGAGCAGTCCACCTCTTAATTATATCTGAGATTCCAACTAGAGCCTAGAATAGGCAGGTTCAGCTCTCATTGTTGCTGTTGCCACTAGATGGCTTCATAGTGACTTTTAAGAGATTGCAGATGCTAGAGTAATTAAATTCAAGCATTAGTCCATCTTTTTGGGTAGTTGTTACTCTGATTTTATATTTACAAAACTCAATCTCCAACAGGTTAAGTGATTTGCCCAAAGTCATAATGACAATCTGTTGATTATAAATCTATTGCCATTTTACCACCTAATTTCTCTTCAGTGATTTAAGTACAATAAGAAGAATTATAAAAGATAGGAAGGCAAGAGTCTTACATATCTAGGTATATGCAACCCTGATCAAATGACTCCTCAAAAGTATTTCCTTCAGTTAACATTGCCAGAATATTTTTTTGCTTATTAACATGAAAAAATGTTGGGGAAAATAAACTGATTATACTAACCATACATACACACACACACATCTATAAAACATATTTTATATTATATATATAATATATATTATATATAAATATACATATTGTATATATAAAACATATTTTTCATATTTTTGTATTTAATACATTTATCATTCACTTACAAAATATTTCCAGAAATAAATTACATTTTATTCTTACAAGAATAACATTTTTTAAAACTGTAACATGCAAATGATTATGTATCTGTGTACCACATTTACCCATCAGTTTTTCAAAACATCTGGGATAACATCCTAAAGTAAACAATGTTCATAAGGCCATCTGGACAAAACTGCGGGCAAAAAAAAAAGCATAAACATATGGAAAAACAGATTTTACCCTTCCCTTAAGCAGTAAGGGATGACAAATGTTGAACCTAGATATATCCACGCTTCACTGTGCGATGCTTTTCAGCACCACCTGGCTCTCCATGCAGAGCCACCAAATATGGACAGCACTGCCAGAAAGAACATATCCACAGGGCAATGGCAATAAAAATAGTTTATTTCATGGTTAAATAGCCACTTCACACAAGTGGCAAGGGTCTGTTTATTGACTTTTATATGTAAGTCTGTGAGAACATAGTCACAATTAATTATGCTATTAGACTTAAATATTAAATAGATCAGATAATCTAACTAGAAAATAAAATTACATTTTCTAAGAACTATTTAAATGTGTTTAATTTTTTTAAAGATTTATTTGAGAGAAAGAGAGAGAGTGTGAGTACTGAGCAGCGGGGTGGGCAGAGGGAGAGGGAGAATCTCAATCAGACTCCCAGCTGAGCGCAGAGCAGGACACAGGGCTCGATCCCACGACCTTGAGATCATGACCTGAGCAGAAATCAAGAGTCGGACACTTAAATGACTGAGCCACCCAAGCACCCCTAAGTGTGTTTTGAGAAGTGCAAGTTTTTTGTTTTACTAAGTAGAATATTTGTAAAATGTAACAATTCAAATTCAATTGATTTATTAAATTTCCATTTTATCAGGTACTATATGAAATACTGTCTGTAAATGTTTATATTTAATTGCTTATGATTTATGAGTATAAAGATTGATATACAGTGAACAGCATAGAGATATTAAACCTCACATTCATAATAACATCTTAGCAAAACTTTTAGAAACTAAGTATACATGTACATTTGCTCACTAAGAAACTATCAGCTGAGAATTTAAGATTCTAGTTTAAAACAAGAGTATCTGGGGCTTCTGGGTGGCTCAGTCGTTAAGCATCTGACTCTGCCCCTCCCCCTCTCAAATAAATAAATCTTAAAAAAATAAAAAATAAAACAAGGGTATCTGAATCAGTTTCTCAATAATCTGACATACTAACAGGTGTGTGTGTCTTAATAAAGAGTAATGTATTATTAATGAGGAATGATTACTGATCATTTTGCTTATAGAGATAACGCTTCTCAATCTGGCAGTGATTTTAGATCATATTCACTTTATGAACTCTTCCTTTATAAACACAGAACCAAATGCACTAAGGACTGAACTTCAAGATGTTTTGAAGGATGGTATAATTAGAAGGATAAGGCTGCTACAGCAATAACAAAAAAGACAAACTATATAAAATTGGATTACCAATTATTTATTTTGTTTTCA